ACAAACGCACACAAACACACACAAACACACACGCACAAACAGACTCCAGCCATGCCTGTAAGGCTGAGCTGCAGCAGCTGCTACTACGGTTGTAATGTAAGAAATATTGTTGCGTTGCTGAGGTTCGGAAAATAATTCTTAGAGGAAAACAAACAGAAGAGAAAAAGGGTGGAGCGCATAGATGGTTTAAGGGTCCAAGATGAAACAGCCAAGGGTGTTGCATCATCCCATTAATTACTCCTACTGCACAATGTCCTCCACCACAGTGTGCATGACCCACATCCTCAGGAAGATAAGCTGGGTTGGAGAGAGCATGGGAATGTGGTGAGAAATGGATCAGACGAACAGGACAATGCTCCAATCAACTCTGACCCTTCACTGTCGACGTTTTCATTTCACCTCGTGCCACAATCCACGTCAATTACTTTTCTTTCTTTTGTTCATTTATTAAATGTTTTTAGTGGAAAGTGGCCCGCTGGGAGAGGCCCCCCCCCCGCCCGCCCTACCTCCACCACCACCACCACCACCACCACCACCACCACCATGCCTGGAGAAGGCCAGTTAGTGAGAAGGGGCCATGACGGATAAATCTGATCCTTTGTAGAGGCAGTATTGATCCAGCGAAAGCTCACTACATGAATCAAGTATGAGCTCTGTGCTGTTATTTCCTTTACACTGTGGGATGGATGTGCTTCAGTGCAACAGAAACACACACTTTCTCATGTAGCCCCCCAAAAACTGGACAAGCTTGTCATGAAATCCAATCAGGCTGAGGGCTGCTGGCGGTATATACAGCGGGAACTAGAGACTTGAATTTCATGAGATCTGAATGTGGGGGATTTAAGTTTAAGAAGGAAGCGGTGTCATTGTTAGCCCACTTAAAAGCTCACAGCTTAAATAAAAATTTTTTTTTTAAAGTTTTGTTTTAGGATTATTAGTTTTCTAAAAGATGTATGAGTTTAACTCCAGTCCTCTCATTACAAGCGTCCTCCATGTAGCTATCTGTAATGGTGGGAAAACAAACCGAAAGCAGTTATGATGCAATTCTGCCTATGTCTCCTCTCCATTAATTACCAACGCCAGTCAACAACGAGTCATTTATAGTCCCCCGCCCCCGGTGTCTCTCTTCTTCTCTTGTCTCTTTGTCTCTCGTGGTTTTTCCAGAATGGTCAGATGAACCAGCGTCCCAGTCTGTTTTGTCTCTTCTGTGCGGTTTCACAGGGACAACCTGTTCTGCTCCTTCTGGATTTAACAGACTGCTGAGCACAGGGTGTTTACGACATGCACGCACACACACACACACACACACACACACACTCACGCACACACATGCACAGACACACACACACACACATATCTCCAGAGGATAGGATCTCAGAGAAGCAACACAGCCTATTTCACTGCAAATTAGGTTAATCACGCTCCAGAGAGGCCCAGTTAATAACCCTCATCGAGGCTATTAAGATGGCACCTAAATCACAGGAATATCTGAATATCTGATGGCCCCTTACACAGCAGAGCCATGTCTAACCATGGACTTCCTGGGAGAGGTAGCTGTGAGGAAGACGACCGGCCACATACACCCTAAGCAGCTCGAGGCGAATGATGCCACGCAAGAGAGAGATTGTCTCTGTGGAGGAAAACACCTCAGAGTGGAGTGTGATAAATTAGGAACCCTGGTTCATTAAGCCAGTGATATTAATCAGAATTAGACTATTAGTCAGTTTTCTTTTCTACATGGAGATAACACACAGAATACTAAGAACACGATCACCAGGAAAAGCACCATGAGAATATAACCCCCAAAGCTCTTCTAGCTCACGATTCATCAGAGCAGTATATTTCTGTTCCACATACCACATCACCCGAACCCCGTCTCCAGTCGTCACAGGAGTTCATAGACACGAGAAGGAACAGTCGCCTGTCCTCAACAGTGTCAAATGAAAGGCCCCCTCTGAAAGGCAACCGGTGTCTGTGTCAGTAATATTTTTTTTTCTTGCAGCTGTAGCGGGCCGAGGCCTGATAGCATCTCCGGTGCCTCAGCGGTACGAGAGCTCGCCGCGGGGAACCTGAGACTGTGTGACGTCCATGAATGATTGAGCCTGGAGACGGCGAGCCCGGGAGAGATGAATCCCTGCTGGTTAACGCTCAAGTGAGGCTGAAAACTAAATTTATTACTTTATTGAGATACACACACACGTGAGACTGGAGAAGCCCGTTACTTTGAACAAATGTCACATCTAATTGGCGTTGCAGCGTGTTTTACAGGACGTGCTGGTTTTACGGCAATCTCACTCACTGCGAAGAGCATCGCACCACAGCTGGGCCGGTTAACGCCAAAACACAGTGTCTCACCTGTTCACTCAGTTTATTCTCCAAAAATGCTCCAACTGTCGCGCCTCATGAAACATCTGACTTTGTGCTGAAACCGTGAGTCAATATTTCAGTTAGTCATTCTGCAGCAAATGAACCAGCCACAATTTTGACCATTTACACAAGTCGTTTTATAAAGTCAAGCTTCGCAAACGTGACAATTTGCACCTTTTTTTTCCGCTTTTTATATTTTTGCAGACTGTTGTTGCAGTGAAGTTGTGACGGGATTGTTTTACTGTTGTTTTGACATTTTGGAAACTGAATAATTAATTGATTATTCAAACTTAATTGCGGCGCTATAACATTTTTGGCATTACAGCACACGTTGGCTTCGCCCTTGTTCTCCAATAGGCAGGTCAGAATAGATAAAGTAGGAATGAAAGATCACATATGAAGCTAAAATATGGATATTCAGTTATCTGGATTCAAATCAGAAACTACACTTCACTTATAATCTGTTGTTTTTTAATGTAAAAATACCTGGAGTGGAAACAAGATATCATCATCATCATCATCATCATCACCATCATCATTCCACTCAGTCAATGACCAATCGAGCAGAATTACCACCCAGCCCTCGTCCTTAAAGAGTCTCCATGAGACATTTTACCCAGAAATCACGAGGAGGAACAACAGCGGTCGTCTTTCAAAAATCCTTGGTTTTAAATTCTTTGGTTATCCACCCGTCCATCCATCACTCCTCCTCTCCTGTGTTGCTAAAGTCAGTGCTGTTGCATTTACGCCCACGTGAGCAGGTTCTGTAGGTGTTCTGTTCTTCGTCTGTTCCACTGGGAACAAGGATCGTTCTCTGCTCACGCTCACTGCCCATTAACTCCCATTTGTTTTTTTTTTCCAAAAAGACTATTAATGTTAAATCTAGATTCTACCCACACTTGAAGATCAGGAATTTATCCCAGTTAATGTCTGCTAATAAATGATGATAACAAACGATACCGAGCTTTTAGCCTTTTAGTGGCAAACACAATCTGAAACGTGGTGAACTCAGTTCATGACAGCAGTCGCCGTTCATCCCGCATCCCAGTCTGACCTTCCACATCGTGTCAGCAAGTGACATAAATTGGTTTCTCTGTGCCTCTGACCGATCCAGGTGGAGGTATGGGGGCGTATATGCATTTCATTTTCTCGTCCTGTACGACCGCCTTGTCTACGCCGTGCATTGCCACATTCCACTGCGAGGTCGGCCCAAAGTTGTACAGTGTGTGTGAGTGTGTGTGTGTGTGTGTGTGTGTCATGCATAATAAACGTCCGACCACAAAATGGCCAAGGAATTAAGAGCTACCGGTGGGAATGAGATCCAGCAGGTGGCACGAGGATCTCGACCGCCGGCAGCTTCACTCTCATTTCACAGCGTGTCATTCCCCTTTAGACCTATTTTACGCCAAATGAATGAGCTCAATTTTTCGGCTTTTTTTGTTTGCAGACGTCCAGACCGAGTCAAAGTCAGGAGGCTGGACTCAGGTCTCCATTCTGCCTCAGTTTAGGGGATGTGATTTCATTTAGTACGAATATGACTGTGTCCTCTTGAAACAGTTTTCACTGTAGAGGCAGAGCAGAGGGAAAAGGAGTGAGTGGATGTTGTTGAACGGGGTGAAGCCTCCCTCTCCATCCAGCCTGTCTAGATGCCACCCTGTCCTCTCTCTTGGATAAACACTATTCACTACATACACCCACTACCTCCCATATTTTAGAGAGGGGAGGGGGGGGGTAGACTTTCAAACCAACACTCATTTCACATCAATGTTCTTAACATGTTTTAATGTTCATTTTATGTCTTTTCATGTGAAGCACTTGGTGCATGTCGTTTCTATGTTGTAAAGCTCTTCGTGCCACATTTCTTGTATGAAAGGATCTATACATATAAACTTTGTTATTATTATTATTATTATTATTATTATTATATTTATGTGTAGTTTGTATGTCTGTTTTTTTCTTCTTCATCTAATTACCTTATTAATTTGCAGGAGTGTCTGTGAGAGCGAGTGCATGTGTTTGTTCTGCTGACAGACCTAACCTTGAGCCTGTGTTTGTGCGCGCGCGTGCCTCCGTACACGTGTGTTTTTTGAGAGCGGGAGCGCGCGTGTCTGGTGTGTGTGTGTGTGTGTGTGTGTGTGTGTGTGTGTGTGTGTGTGTGTGTGTGTGTGTGTGTGTGTGTGTGTCGCTTGCTCCGTGCTGTTGGCGACCCCCAGCGTACAGGACGCGAAATTTTTTCCATCATTCTTTTCCCTTTAAAACATCACCAAACATTTCCACATGAAGCCGCCGCCTTAAAGCTCCTCAGTGCGGACACTGCACCGGGAGACAGTCGGTGAATTCTTTAAGAAGTTCGCTTCAGCTGCATCTACATTTCTACATGTTTTGTTTGTTTGTTGTGTGTTTTTTTCCCCCTCCACAGCCAGACTGATACATGTAATCCAGTCACCAATTCCTGCAGACTCTCACAACTTGCAGTGGCGTACATTAAAAAACTGGGACAACATGTTGTCGAGCGGCGGCGTCAAAAATGTGAAACATCATGAAACAGTGTCACATTCTCCGTTTTCCGTGAAGCGTTTTGACAATCGCACTGTGACTGCTGTAAAGATGAAATGAAATTGTTCGTGTCTTACCTGCGCGCAACACTCCGTTTTATCCACATTTTTCACGACTGCCGAATCCGACTCAGTCTTCCAGGTATCCTCCCATTTAGACGGGTTTCCACCAAAGTCGACAATAGCTGATAATAATAAATAAAAAAAAAGAAAGAAAAAACACTCAAGTGACGGACCTTACTCCAGCTGTCATCATTTAAGCCATATCCTTCAACGTTGCGCACATCAAATTCCTCCAATGCCGCCGCAAAAGATCCCGCTTTAGAAAAAAAAGAAGATGCCACAGCAATAGTCAGGTCTCTTTGAAGTTGTCAATTGTTCTAATGACGACACAATCTTCCTCGTTTTCAGTTACAAAAAAAAAAAAAAAAAAGGAGAGGGGCACGCGCGTGCAGGCGGACAGGTGAGCGGGAAAAAACCAGAAGAGAGGTATCCTCAAACTTTGCCTTCACGCATATCTTTCATTTTTTTTTTTTTTTTTTTCTCCTCCTCCTCCTCCACCACCCCCCACCTCCTCCGGGCGGGAATGACAAGGCTGCGAGAAGCGGAGAGCAGAAACACAGGACATGTAGTTGGCATGCTCTCCCTGAAATGACAGCGCACCTTCTCCTTCCTACATTGTTGAAAGGCAGATGATCGTCCCCACAAGAAGAAGAAGAAGAAGAAGAAAATAAGAAAATAAAAAATTGGGGGGGTTGGAAGATGAGGATGTTCTGGAGCACGGAGGAGACAAGTCACCGATGGCAGGGGGTCCTCATTATCTACTCACATTTCTGGAGGTGTTGAGGTTGGGGGGTGGGGGTGGGGGTGCGGAGGGATTTAGTTAAAGTAAAAAAAAATTTTAAAAAAATTAGGTGCAACTGAAAAGAGGAAGAGGGGGAAGCGACGAAGGAGAATCCTGGAGGCTGAGAGTTGTTTCAGAGGAGTTGGAGAGAGAGAAAAAGGAGAAAGAGAGAGAGGAGGAGGATTGAGAGCTCGTCATTAGAGAGAGAGAGAGAAAGAGAGAGAGAGGAGAGGAGGCTGGTCCGTCTCCTCCTGCTGCTCCTCTTCTCTCAGACTGACGAACGACCTGCCTGCCGAGCCCCGCGCTGCCGTGACGTCATTTTAAAGCCAAATATGTCATGTGCCGGGGTGTCTCACGTCATCTGCGCGTGTCAGCTTGGATGTGACAAGGGGGGGGGCAGCACTGTCCGGTACAGTTCAGTGTTACAGGACTGAGACTCCACTGCATAGAAAGTGCTGGGAAGAGGAGACATGCAGCATGATGTCAGACACATGTATCCACATCAGCTGGCCATCAGCTGACTGATAACATATGATGTCACCTTTTGTTTAGGGCTCCTGACGATTTGGGCTTGATCTGTTCTCTCCCTTCACCTCAGGTCAAATTCATCCACTGAGCCCGTGATCACCTTCAATATGCAGAGTATTAGTTTAAGTGAAAACAGCTTAGGCTAATTATTATAGTAATTGTTATTATAACTGACGCTGACAGATAGCCTAGCACCGGTGGCATTAGCAATAAAAAAAAAACAAAAAAATAACTGGAAACATGCACAACAAGAATCCACTGAAATTACTGACAGAAACATTGTAAATTAAAGACACAATTAGTTAATATTTTAAATAAGTAATTAAACGACGTTGTAAATTATTCTGATAACAGACAAACTGTGATGGTGAGGTCTCTGTGGTAATTTCAGATCAGTTATCCGGTAGCCACAGGCAAAAACACCTTGTTTGCTCTCAGTGAAAGTCAAAGTGAAGTCATCTCGGTGTGAGGTGGTTAAGTTTGACATTTTCAGACATTTTCATATTCTACTCAATCCTACACAACATATTCACTGAGTTTTCCTGTTTAGCTCCCCCTGGTGGTCGTGTAGGGAGCTACAGCCATGTAGCTCGCTTATGCAAATGCTCTGCAATGCTGCACAAAATACATTTCTGCACTTGGCAAACTTGTATCAGCTTGTACACAAAGCTATTATGGGATTCAAGTCATATATTATTACTAAGGTATTATATATTTTTATTGGAGCAATATTATTGGATTTAAGCCAGAAGAATCTCATTGCATTGGCAGCAAATATTATAGATGCAGTAGATGCTAAAAGTCATTTAGAGCAGCTGAACTATTATTATAATAATTATTATTATTATTATCATTATTATTATTATTCATTATTAGTTCTAAACCCTCCTGGAGCTGCTTATCTTCACTGGACGGCAAAGAGAAGTTCACTGTGATGGCTTTACCACGTGCAGAGGTTCATACTACCTGCAGATCCCACATCCCTACAGGTCCAGCCAGGATATGATCCCTCACCAGCTTCCCACCAGAAAATACAGCCACACACAATTAACCTCGTGGTCGTATCCCTCCGCCATTCAGACTAGTCTCAGGTTACATCCCTGTTTATTCAGAGTCATATAGAATATGAACCATTTGTGTGACATTTTTTTATGTATGCTAAATGATGTCTTGAGTAATGGCTAAACAGTATTTTGTGAGGTCACACTGACCTTTGACCTTTGACCACTGAAATTTAATCAGTTCATCTTTGAGTCCCAGTGGACATTTGTCCCAAATTCAAAGGGATTCCTTTGAGGAGGTCTTGAAATATTGGGCTCACAAGGCCAAAATCTTGTTTTGTGAGGTCACCTTGACCTTGACCTTTGACCTTTGAACTTTGACCTTTAGCCACCAAAATCTAATCAGTTCATCCTTGAGTCCAGGTGAACGTTTGTACTAAATTTGAAGAAGTTCCTTCAAGTCGTTACTGAGATATTGCGTTCACAACGCCAAAACTGCATTTCGTGAGGTCATCACGACCTTTGACCTTTGACCTTTGACCCCCAAAGTCTAATCAGTTCATCCTTAAGTCCCAGTGAACGCTTGTGCCATCAAGGCATTACAGAGATATTGTGTCAATGATAATGGGACGGACAGACGGACGGACGGACGACATGAAAACAATATGGCTGCTGCTCTGACTGTCGCCGGCGCAGAGGAATAACAAAAATAAATGTCATTACTACATAGGATAATATTCTCTACATTTTTTCGTCTGTAAATGACACAGAAAAAAAAGATAATTTATTTCATGTGACCCTGTAAGATATTAAAACATCACATATTTCCCTGTTTGGTGTAATAAAAGCGTTTTACGGTCATTTCCATATTTTCATCACCTTCATTAAACTGTGCACGCCCAGTTTTTAGAGAGGAAGAGCAGATGTAGTTCTCAGTATATTTATAGATTGATGTGTCGTGATGTCAGAATTCAGGAAAACATCAGGACATCAGGATCCATCACATCAGCCTGAGCCTCAGAGTACTGATAACTCCCTGAGCTGCAGGTTAACCGTGTTTTCTCTTAATATTTACCAGCTGAATGCCGAAGAAGTGAAAGGTACTTAGTGAGCGGCGTGTATATCTACCGTCTCTCCCATATGACATGAAAGTAGCATTAAACTGTCATCCTGCAGGCTTTTTGCACACCTGTACTACAAGATGTCAGTGGTGGGCAAAATCCTATTACATTAAAATCAATGTGCTGAGGTGACCGCACAGCGAGATCGGTGGAAATATTACCTACGACAAGATCAACTCTTGCGTGAGGAAAAGAGAGAGTGTGGCGGCCTTTCTTCTACACCTCGGGGTCAAAGTGTCAAACCAATGGCCACATCACACCTGTTTTAGCCTTTACGACTGCTCTAGCCTTTCCTGGAAAAAAAAAAAAAGAGATATATATATATATATATATATATATACATATTCACAGGCCCCCAACTGTTCCTGTTTCTTTCTTGCTGTATTTCAACTTGTTTTGTGCACTGATTCTCATATTGTGAGTCTGTGTAATGGGGCTCTGTCTGCTCCTGAAGGCCAGTTTGCAATGTTCCCTGTTAAATCTCTTTTTCAACATGACAGTTACGGCCTCTGCATGTGTAGAAGGCGACGTGGAGGGTAACGGCTGGCAGTTGACTGGTTGCACAGAAGTCCGGTCTCAATAAAACTATTCAGTCTAAAAGAAAATATAATCAAAGGAAACTTAAAATACTAATGAGTAAATAAATCATGTGGCCAACAGTCTAACTCTGATCATGATCAAACATTTCTATTATAAGTTATATAAAGACAGGAAATGATTTAATACACATAGATAATCATTCTGTAATGTAATCAATATAGTTTCTTTCTCTCTCACGCTGGATATACATTCATATATTAATATCTATAGATCTTCATTTAACACTCACACACTCACCTGGGGGATACAAGCCCAGTCTGCCTTGTTCCCCTAATAATGGACTTTATATAGTTGTATCGTTACCATGGCAACCTGGCACTACTGATATAAAATAACATCTTGAAAATATTTTAATATCTTTATTTGTTTGTTGCACTTTGCAACAAACAAATAAAGATAAAAGATTTTTCTGTTAGATATAGTAACAGTTTAAAGCTCAAATGACGTGTTTAATGTAACATGCTTATTGCACCTGCACAAATCAGCCCCCCCCCCCTCGCCCCAGGTGTGGTAATGCAGCTCTCTCTCTCCTCAGGACTCAGACGGCGTTGATCAGCGTGCAGTCATGAACACAGTCCCCCCCCCCCTTCTCCCAATCAGATGAATTGCAGCTGTTTATAATAAAACTGATTGCTCTATACATGACGAAGCAACTTTCCTCCCCCACTAATTGTTGCCATGGAGCACCCTCCTGTCAAACACCATCATTACTGCATTAGGGTGTATACATACATACTGATCCAAGTGGATACCTCTGTCTGAGGAAACTGTCACTAGCTCCCCAGCAGATGGAAGCTGTCATCACTCACTTTCTCTCCGTCACCTTCCTCCATCTCTTTCCTTCTCATTCACACTCCCTCTCACACACTCGCTGTTTTGCATGTCATCTTCCTGTGTTGCGTGTTTGTGTATGCACTCGTACTCATGTGTGGGGGTTTTTTTTTTTTTCTTCTGTTGCTTCATGAAAGCAGCGTAAGTGTGATACAGCGTGAACAGGCTTCTTTCGCCCCAGAGACAGAGTCACAGGTTGTCATGCATGTCTAAGA